GGTGACAGGTGTGAGGAGTGAGGTCTGGAGGGAAGACAGGTGCATTCATATAACTAAATAGGGGAAGAACTAAAGCAGGGGGGAGATAAACCATAATCTCAAAAGCGCTAAATAACTAAACTTAAAGACTAAGTGCAAAAAGATAAACAACTAATGACTAGCGGGGTTAGGAGGACTAAAACTAACCACGAACTATGAGTGAGTGACTAGGAGGAGACATGAGGGAAGCCTAGAGGGAGCTGGGGACCACAAGAAGACACATGATGAGAACCTGAGGAAGAACAGGAGGGGGCTGGGGACCAAGGGGACACATGAGGAGAACCTGAGGAAGAACAAGAGGGAGCTGGGGACCAAGGGGACACAGAACATGACATTTACAGACACAAAGAAAAAGAAAAAATGGGAAAATCAGCTGGGGACCCCGTTACACTCGCAACGATTTTTAGTTGTTTGTAGTCGTGTCTGAGAGGCTCCTTTCTCACTCAGTAAGTCATGGACAAAAAGCCCATCAGCAAAAACTCATTAAAACCAAGATAAAACCCAGTAAATAAGCCCTCGATATGAAGAACCAAAAACGTGATCTCAAGACCGACCGTACTACAATATTAGATAAAGAGACAAAAAGCATGGAACATGATATTGTTCATGAAATGGTAATAAGATGAATGTACCCTGTTTTTTCTACGTTTTATTTGGTAGTGGTTCACATCCTCCTGGAGCCAACAGCTTATGACACCTTTTGTGACTTCATATAAAGTGTGCTGCAGTTTCAACTGAAGCATGTGTTTGTAAATGATTTCTGAGGTGAAAGATAACCTCATACCTGCAAGGCAATGCAGAGGGTGTGTGTGTGTGTGAAGGAAGAAGTTAGAGCTAAGATGCTAGAATTAAAGAGCTAGTATCAAAAACAAACAAAAACCCTGATAACTGAACTTTTATTAAAAGAAAATTTATATTTGTTCATTTTAATCTAATTTTGTGCTTTAGCTGCAGCTTGCTCCAGAGTTTTCACAAGAGCCTTTCAGATGGTTGTATATGAGATGGTTTTCTTTCATTTGGGATGTAAATGTCACAGTGACTGATGAAGGTTGAAATGTAGATGGACCAGTAGGTCAGTTCTTTTTTCCCCATGAGACTGGAAAGCCCTCATTCCTGCAAATGACACTCCAGTCTAGAGCCACAGCCTCAGCTCGTTCTCCTTCTGGCAAGTTTACACTTTGCTGCTGACTGCCCTGGTGTGTGCTAGGCTACAGCTGGCCCGAAGAACAGACCCATGTCACCTGTAAAAGGTAAAAATAACAACAACAACAAGCACAATCCAAAAGCAGGATCAGGGACAATGCCCAGCTCTGATGAAGCCATGGTAGGGTGGCAGGTGAGGGTGGAGTCCTGAGCATTTTCAGCGTCACAAACAGGCTAAATCTACGGCTTCAGCTGTGAACCATAAATGACATCATGAATCATGTTACTTTGCTTTGACACATGAAAGATTTCAAAATGTGGAAAATGTAAAAGAAAACTTCATAACCCTTTAAAAATAATTAGACACCAGCATGAGCACAGGTCTGCCTGACTTAGACAGGAAGGCTCCATTTACCTAACGCCTCGTTTGGTTTGAATGCATTTACAGTTTGTCTCTATTGTTTACACACATTTTCTGGTACTTGAGACACAATGACCACAACATGTAACCAATTCACCAACCCCCTTAACCAATTCTGCTAAACTACAAGCACAATTCCTGCTTTGCACTCAAACTGTAAATCTAAAATACACTTTTTTCAAAACACTACACACAATTCTCTGCTGTTGGTACAATGTTCATGCAGAAAATATCTTGTTTTCACAAGGAACACACTGCTGTTCAAATATGCACACTGACTCATCACCAGGGCAAACACCCGTTTTACAATCAGCAATCAGAGCTTTAGCATAAAAGGGCAACAGGTGAGCTCTTCTGTGTTGGAGCAATGGATGCCAACATTGGAAACAGAGCCAGAGGAGTGAGAGTGAGAGGACGAGGAAGACCAAGGACTGCAATCTCTGATGAGATCCGAGCCACTTTGGTTGATCATGTGGTCAACCATGGTCTTACAATGAGGGAGGCTGGGCAAAGAGTACAGCCAAATTTGAGCAGGTACACTGTAGCATCCATCATCCGGACCTTCCGAAATGAGAATAGGTAAGAAATTCTTCTCTCACTATAAAATGGCAGTACTGCATATCAATACAATCAGTATTCAGTGAGTATATAGTAGTATTGCCTGTGGATGGTTTTGTTGGACAGTAAAAATACTGTAAAGTATGTTTCCAGTATTTAGGAAATGTATACCTACTTTGTGTTCACAGTATTTTAGTATTTGTTTGGCAGAACTGAAAGATTACCGACACGAGGAGGTCGGGAACGTCTTCTGTCTCCTGAACAGGAAACTGAAATCATGAACATGGTCCTAGAAAAAAATGCCATAACATTACGGCAAACACAAAGAAAAATAATAGAAAACAATGACATGTTTCAAAATATTGATAGAGTCAGCTTCTGAACACTGGACCGTGTCTTGCGCAGATACCCTCTCAGGATGAAGCAGGTCTACAGGTTGCAGTTTGAACGCAATTCAGAAAGAGTCGAAGAATTGCAGTATAACTATGTGCAAGTGAGTCCCACAACTGATGCATCCACTCAACACTGTGTACAGTAAATTATACATATTTCAATATTGAAGTCACAATGATTGTGCTTCACAGTAGTGACCACTCCATGGATTTGTGTGTTCAGAGTGTAAACACAATACTCAGAAATATTTTACGACATATGTACGTATATGATGGTACAGCTCCCATCTACCTGAATCCTTTTGCAAAGGCTTACGTCTCGGCCCGGCCGCTCCGGTCATCACAGGATCATCGGCTAGCAGTGCCTACACCACGCTCGGGACAATCCAGACTCTTCTCATGCATCATTCCACAAATGTGGAATGACCTTCCAAGCATTACCAGAACAGGAGCTTCCTTCTCAATTTTCAAGAAACTCCTGAAGACCATGCTCTTCAGAGAGCATCTTCTAAACTAGCACCCTCCCTGCACTCGTCCCCCCTCTCTACTGTCCACTCCTTGTTCCCTCCTCTCCATGACTGATGTCAAGTTGTTGTTGTAATAGGCTCGACACACGGGAGGCAACATCGCCTCTCCTCCATTCATTTTCAATGAGACGCGCGACAAAGCGATAATCGCGGGTCTCCCTCCTACCAAGCGAAACGTGAAAAATGTGCGTGGGAAATTTTGTGCTCGTGCACGTGTCGTGCACGGGCGACCCAGCGACGCGATCCCAGAAAGTTGAAACATTTTCAACTTTTCATCGTTGTCGCTCGGACGAGGACCAATCAACGGAGGTTTCATTCACTGACCAATGAGCGGACAGGATGCTCCGTACATCTCCGAGCAAACATGGAGGAGAAGTTGATTATTATTATGTTTTATAGTAAAATCAGAAGTAAGATTTCACATAACTCTAGCAGCACCTTGTGAAACATCATATCTACCGCTTTATTAACTCTGAACTGCTTAAATAACCTTAATTCCCTCCAACCTGACACAGCCAAACAAAACAAGGGAAGTTTCGATTTCGCCATGGAACAGAACGCGTAGACGGCTTTGCCGCTGCCGCGGATCGCCTCCCGTGTGTCAGGTAATAAAAGCGACGGCGACAAATTTCGCTGATCGCGGTCGTTTGTCGCCTCCCGTGTGTCGAGCCCATTAGCCTCATTGGCAACATGCCGATTGTTACTTGTAAGTCGCTTTGGACAAAAGCATCTGCTAAATACTTGGCCCCAGTGCAAGGGTTGCTTTAGCCCCCCCCCAATGCAGTTGTGTTTCATTAGCGAACACATAGAACATACCATGGACGAATATTAAAGCGTCATGTGTCTGAGTTGAGCTGCGTCCTCACCTCCGCTGTTGCACAGCTGTCCGGCATGCGTACTCTTCTCTCTCCCACCAGTTGCGCCAACGCCAATAGAATCAGCCACAGCTTATTGCTGTAGAGCTCCAGGGTGACATCTGTGCCGTACTACGTGGCTGCACTGCGCTGGACTCCTGCTGACTCTTGGCTGCACCTCCACCTGGCTCACCTTGCCTCCTTATAATAACGTCATCTTCCCCTCACTCCCAGTGATCGTGGTGAACAGGAAATCTTACTTCCTGCAGTCAATTTCTCTGACTGCTCTTCTCCCGAGTGGTGAGTCTGCTCATGCTCGTGTGCATGCACGTTAACGACTCGTTTTTCCCACTGAGAAACTCTGAGAGTGCACGTGGGGGGGGGGGGGGGGGGGGGGGGTCAAGGAGAGTGCTGTTAATCATTGCCTCTGTGCCGCTCAGGCGATGCCTTTTTTTCAGATATTTATTTCTAACAGGAAGTCTGATTGAAAAAAAATCTCCACCCAGAGCGTTCCTCCGCTTGAATGTTTTTCAATATAAGATGATCATAGTTCTTAGAGGCGGAAGAAGACTATGAGCTTATCTTAGTTTGTCAGGGGTTAATATTTATTAATTGCTGAATGAAAGAATTTCCTTTCTCTTTCTTTCTACTTTACTTCTGTATTTGCAGACTAAGTGTATTCTCCCAGATCAGTTAAAGACACATGACTGCTCGTGTTGTCTTTACAGGAGCAGCTTTCATGCAAATGACACACACTCGGAGATATCTGGCAAACTCGGCAGCAGCAAAATACACAGTTGAAACCTTTTCTGCTTCTGAAAATCCTGTATTTATAAACTCTTCCTTCAGCCAGAGTAAACTTCCAGCTTAAGTTCAAATCCAACAGAACTAAAACTCTCTGGTTCATGGGACAAAAATCAGGTTTGTCTGCTTTTGTGGTGTGTGTGTGTGTGTGTGTGTGTGTGTGTGTGTGTGTGTGTGTGTGTGTGTGTGAGCATTGTGGTGAGGTGTTGCTATACAAGTAAATTAAGTCAGCAGCTGTCAGAAGGCTGGGTTTTGTCCGACAGGCACTCCTTGTTGTTTCCAGTAGTGAATGGTTGTCACGGGGTGGAGTTCACTTCCATCATGAGGATCGAGCTGCTTACCTGTGGAGTCCTGCTCCTGGCCCTCTCGGCTCCAGGTGAGTCTCGCACCTGCATCTTTACTTATATGACAACAGTTAATAACGCAGAAGAAAAGAAAACATTTATTTTCATAAGGATGAATAACTTAAATATTTCAGTGTTGTTTTGGCCGCCATCTTGGTTTTAGTCTTAGCCTTTTGGACAAAAATGCTTTTTGGGTTTAGTTAGTTTTAGTCGACTAAAACAGAAAAGTTTCAGTCAACAAATATTTTGGTTTTTAGTTTTACAAACCCTTAAACAGTGTACTAGTCTTCAACTGAATAATTAGCAGGTCACACACGTGCTGAGCTGCTGCAGTGAGTTTCATACCAACACCTTTTATTTTGGGGCTAAAGGAGATCTCACACAATCTCATCTGCCCCAGATTTTGCCCAGTTTAACAATAATCTGTGCTTTTCTTTATTGATCATCTCTATACTGTACATAATGAATCTATTGATGCAAATCTGTGCATCTTTCAGTATAATTTATGATTTTCTTTCCTGAGTGAACATTTGGAGCATATTCTACACAACATTTAAATATAAATAAAACATGTCTGTTGGATTTATAGTTTATGAATATTCAGACCTCCAACATGGTGTCTTTAAATGTATAATACTGACCAACCCCCCCACCCCCCCCCCCCACCCCCCAGGCAAAGTCCTCCTACTAAAATGCATTAATGTTTTTTCCAAAGACCTACAGTGCTGTGAGCCAACAGAGCTCATATACATAACCAGTAACAGTGATGTTACTGCACACTCCCTCAGGTTGTGTCCTGTATCTGCAGCCACAGCAGTGTTTAAATGCTCATAACCATTTAGAAGATCTGTTATTAGAAACCAGGTGGCAGAAACTTGACACACACCTGCTTTTTCCATCTTCGCCGCCTAGAAAGGACCAAGCCACTAGTGTCGCAAGCTCACTTAGATACTGTGGTACACGCTTTTGTTGCTTCTCGGCTAGACTACTGTAACTCCCTCTACTCCGGAGTAAGCAAGGCTGCCCTGGCTCGGCTCCAGGTTGCACAAAATGCTGCAGCCAGATTCCTGACAGGCACAAGAAAGCACCAACATATCACGCCTGCACTGGCTTCCAGTATCTTTCCGTGTCAGTTTCAAGATACTTGTCTTTGTTTTTAAGTCTCTGCAGGGTTGTGCCCCCTACCTATCTCTCTAATCTACTCGTCCGTTACACTCCACCACGAACACTTAGGTCTTCACAGCAAGGCCTGCTAGTCGTCCCATGCGTGAGATGCTCCACTAGAGGAGGTGGAGCTTTTTCAGCTGTGGCCCCTAAACTGTGGAATGACCTTCCACTCGTGGTCAGAAAATCACCCTCACTGTTGGTTTTTAGTGGTCAGTTAAGACTCACTTTTATACAGTGGTGTTCCCTAAGCCCGTGAGTTAGTTTCTGGTTCATTTCGTAAATGATTATCTGGTTGTATCTTTACTTTATTATTTTGTTTTTATCAACATTTTTTTATTTCATCTCTAGTATTAATTATGGCTATGTATATTTTATGGCTGGCCATCAGTGTTGGGAGTAACGTGGTACAAAAGTAATTAATTGCTATAATGCATTGCTTTTTGCTGTAATGTGGTAATGTAAGGCATTACAGGGAAAGAAAATGGTAATATTTACTCGTTACAATTGTCAGTAACGCAGTAATTACAACGCATTTTTAAACCCAAAATCAAGATGGGGGTTTCCTAAAAATTCAAATTGCGGAAAGCCTGAAAAAAGATCCAGTATCTACATATATGACATCATTTATGGACTCAGCTTTGCGGGCGTTCTATGAGCAGAGAGGACGCAGCGGTAACAACTCCAGCTGCGTCCTGCGCACGGCCGCTGTTATATTCACAAAATCGCTCCACCAAAACAAAGTAATTCGTTTGATCACCCCAGAAGTCAGTCTCACATCCAGGGCCGTATCAAGGCATTTGGGGACCAAGGCAAATATAGGCGTGGAGCCCCCACCACCTCACTCCCTGCTCAGTTAATATTAGATGTCAGCATGCTGAGAGTACAGATTGTTGTTGCTTTTATTTAACAAACAATCATTTTAAAGCACTGTTATTATATCTGACTGTTTTTAACAGCAATCCTAGCTCAGACACCACATCACCTTCCACATATATGTCATGTGTGCTGGTGAGTGAAGCGGAGGTGAGGATCCACACGCGGGTGAAGTAGGTAGGCAGGCAGACACGAACAATTAAAGGCTTTTAATGAGGAACACGCTGACACTGAAACAATGAACCGACAAAAGACACAGAACTGAGAGGGTTTAAATACGTAAGGGCTGGGAGCTTGGGTGATTAGAAAACGAGAAGCAGGTGGGAGCAATCAACAGAGACACATGACTGAACAGAATGGGGAGACAGGACAGGGCGTGACAAAATGTCATGAGCTCACCGAGCGTCAGATTCCCAGATTCATATTGAAGTTGTTTTGGTGAAAGTAACTTAAAGTAATGCAAAAGTAGTGTAATGCCTTACATTTTAAAATCAGTAATATTGTAATGTAATGAATTACTTTAAAATGACGGTAACAAGTAATAAATAATGCATTACAGTTTGGAAGTAACTTGCCCAACACTGCTGGCCATTGCTTGGGTCTGTAGTGCTTTAATTTCTGCGGGAGTGTTCAGCCCTTTGGTTTGCCGTGGTGGAAGGAAAGTGCTTTATAAATAAAGGCTGATGATGATGATGATGATGATGATGATGATGATGATGATGATGACATTGCTTAAAATTTTCATCTTTAACATGTTCAGATAAAACGTGATAAAACGGTCATTTCTTTCATTTATCTGCCCAAGAATGTCACATTTTAATGAAGCACACAATCAGGAAACATGTTAACATTTGGAATAAATTCAAAAGTAGCCTCATGACTTCTCGTATTTCTAACTGTTTACTTCTTCAAGTGGCTGTGATGAGCCACGACAGAGAAGCGCTCTTCTTATGCTGAGCAGATTGTGCCCTGCTGCTGCTTTATGATGGCTAGAAGACGGAAACCGCAGCGGTGCTGTTACTTAAAGCTTTTGTAAGACAGCAAATGTGCATTCTGAGCATATTTTTGCCCAGTCTCCTCTCATTAATAAAAATTCGTGCTTGTTTCAAATGTTTTAGTCTATTTTTTGCTCATCAGTGTTTCATTTTCGTCATGAGAAAAAAGGGCGTAGACAAAATCATTTAGCCACCATTTTTGACAAAAACAGCACTCAAGGACTTTGGATAAGACATCCTGACCGCCAGTTTCTGTTTCGGAGTGCCAGATGCGTTTCAGAGATGATAACCCTTCTGCTGAAACCTACATGAAGAAAACCCCATAGAATCGGTTCTGACTCTTACGGTTGTTGTACTCATTTTTTATGGCAGACACTTTTCACAGATTATTTGATGTTGTTGATCAGAGTGAACACCACACAGGCAGCAGATTGTAAAAGAAAGTAGTCGAGTGTGGAAAGTGGTCAGTGTATCCTCCAGCAGTCTAAGCCTATAGCAGCATAACTACAGAGACAACTCTGGATAACCTAGCCTTTTAGATGGAGGCATGTTGGAGGCAGGGCAAGGGAGAGCCGTCTTTACCGACTGTACACTCAACCTCCCTCTACTCCCCCACTTGTCCAGATCTAGGCTACCATCAGATTTTAACCATAGGCCCTATCAAATAAAAATGTTTTAAGCCTAGTCTTAAAAGTAGACAAGGTGTCTGCCTCACGGACTAAAGCTGGGAGTTGGTTCCACAGGAGAGGAGCCTGATAACTAAAAGATCTGCCTCCCATCCTAATTTTAGATATTCTGGGAACCACCAGTAAACCTGCAGTCTGAGAGCGAAGTGCTCGGTTAGGAACGTATGGAACAATCAGATCACTGATGTATGATGGAGCTTGATTATTAAGAGCTTTATATGTGAGAAGAAGGATCTTAAAATCTATTCTGAATTTAACAGGCAGCCAATGTAGGGAAGCCAAGACAAGAGAGATATGATCTCTCTTTTTAATTCTCATCAGAACTCTAGCTGCAGCATTTTGGACAAGCTGAAGACTTTTAACTACATTCTGTGGACTTCCTGAGAGTAATGAATTACAGTAATCCAGTCTTGATGTAATAAATGCATGAACTAGTTTTTCAGCATCACTCCTGGAAAGTATGCTTCTAATCTTAGCAATATTCCAGAGGTGGAAAAAGGAAATCCTACAAACCTGTTTAACCTGGGATTCGAATGACATGTCCTTGCCAAAAATAACACCAAGTTTCCTTACTTTGTTCTCAGAGATTAATTAAATGTCATTCAGGTCAGGTGATTGACTAAGCAGTTTCCTTTTCTGAATTTCAGGTCCAAAGATGAGAACTTCAGTCTTGTCTTGATTTTGAAACAAACATTTTTGAGTCATCCAATTTTTTATGTTCTCAAGACAAGCCTGTAACTAACTGATTAGGTTAATCAGGGTTAATGGATAAATATAGCTGAGTATCGTCAGCATAACAGTGGAAGTTTACCCCATGCTGTCTAATGATTTTACCAATTGGGAGCATATATATAGTAAAAAGAATTGGTCCAATCACTGAACCCTGTGGTACTCCACAAGTAACCCTGGAGCATGAAGAAGATTTGTCATGTACATTTACAAAATGAAATCTATCAGACAGGTAGGATTTAAACCAGCCTAACGCTGTTCCTTTGATCCCTACAACATGTTCAAGCCTTTCTACAAGAACATTGTGATCAACTGTGTCAAAGGCAGCACTGAGATCTAACAAGACTAGAACAGACACAAGATTCTTATCTGAGCCCATGAGAACATCATTTGTAACTCTCACTAATGCAGTTTCAGTGCTGTGATACTCTCTAAAACCAGACTGAAATTCCTCAAACAGAGCATTAGTGTTTAAATGCTCACATACTTGGATGGCCACTATTTTCTCCAGGACTTTGGATAAAAATGGAAGGTTAGATATTGGTCTATAATTCATTGGGTCATCTGGATCCAGAGAAGGCG